AAGTTAATCACATGTATGCAGACAACGATACAGGGTTTCAGTATCAGAACTATTGAGAAAGTTATTCTGTAACTAAATCTTAGGCAATACATAGTGCAACATGTAATATCAATGAGGAACATTACAACTTCAGTTATTTTTCGAATTTTTTAGATCATAATTTCAAAAAACGTAATTGCTTAAGTCCTAGCGAGGGCAATGGATGATTGTGTTTGTACTGCTTCTGACTTACGATTCGGTGAGCAGATGACCACAATCGCTACGGATATGAAGGTGTGTAAGTTCCCGTCCCAGTAATCCATGGATGAATGAGTATGGAAGAATCAAGCAGTTTGCGCTTCATGCTTGGTTGTGAACGTTAAAAGTAATGCAAAGTTAAAAGAATGAAACTGCCCGGGAGTATCAGTCTTACTTTTAGGTTCATATATTGGGTAAAAAGGTTTATATAGGTTTGGGTGGGTTTCATTCCGACGCCAAGACAGTAGTTGATAAAATTATTTTTCGCAAGAATCTAAATGAATTAAAGGAAAATCGAAAAATAAAACCAAAGGTAAAAGTAAAAGATGAATTTAACGACTACAAGGACGTTTGTATCTTGGTTGATGTTGTTATTCCGTCAGAACACCATTAAGAGTATAGGAATTTCAAAACGGCTCGACTTGTTTGCTTTTCCTTTTTGTACCAAAGAAAAGTCAATGCAGGAATTCCTCTAGCAGATGGGAGCTTCCAATAGCAATAAATCACTCCCGTCGGACTGTTTTCCTATGCTTTTTCGGTACCAAAAAGAGATCATTTTTGCTCTGCATCAACGCTTAGCAATGATTTATTGCGTGTCAAGAACAGAAAGCTGTCTGTATTGGATTCTTCTCTGTGCTGGAGGATTACTGCAAGGCTAGGTATAGAATGGAGTAGGCTCGAGTATAAAGTCTGATACTCTCTATAAGTTGATTGCTTTTTTTATTGTTTTGGACGTATAAGGGAAAACGTAAATTTGTGAAGAAGTAATCACCAGCGTTTGGATTGGACAAGAAATATTTATATTACTAACTGTGCAACATTTCTTTCTTTGTTTGTAATGTACTTTCTGCTTCTCCATCACTGTACACTCACTACACTTAAAAAGAGCTTATTGCAAAATAATCGTTCTTTGGCATATTCTTGCATCACTGCAGAAAATGCTCATTTTTTATCATCAGTGATAGTTTCACTCTCAGACAAGAGATGCCCTTAATTTATAGGACTGCGATCAATCGCAAGAAACGTAACCTGAATAAGCGATATGACCAGGCTCATTAATTCATTTCAGTGCTAGAGGAAAATCAGCAGTTATGAAAAGATAGGTTAGGGCAGTTTTTGTCGAACTTCTGGAAATTGCCATGCGACTTATTAAGAACACAGCAAAAACAACTGAACTTTGTTTGACATATAAGCAAGAAATGAGATGATATGATGTTAGTGAAGAAAGTTAAATAATGGCTTAGGTTGTTGCGTGAAAATGAAAAAAGGGACAGTTTGAAAATATCGACTGAGGTTGGAGTAGACATGTTATCGTTTTTTCGTCAGATATGTAAGAAAGATTATAGATCATTTTTTATTCAATGATGAAGAATGCTCAATTCTTCGTGCAATTAGCCATGTTAAAAGAATGAGCAGATATGTTCTTCAATTGTAAATCTCTAATTTTCTGAGATACAGTAGGCGAATAAAGTTATTATTTGTTTCTTTTATTGTTTATTTTATGCAAATCAAAAAAATCCGTTGAAAAATAGAAAACTACTGTATTAGTTATACCGAAGTTGGTCAAGAATGATCACTTATATTCAGATCTAAATGAAATATCACTTTTGTCTCTAATAATAACAAATCTAATTGATTGGCGATATTTATCGTGCATTACAATTATAAATCTGAAATTAAATTAATTACTAATTACATTAGCTTCAAATTTTTTAACATTAGGAGTATAATACAAAAATTTTTAAAGAATTTAGAAAAAAAATTTGAGCAACAGTTTTACTCAGTTTTACTAAGTTTTTTATCAAAAAATAAAAAAGTAAAATAAGTTGCTTGATAACTTGGAAGATTAAATAAATATCTCGAAATCAAAATTTTATTTATTAAAAATAATAAATTATCTTTGCAACGAGTGGATAAAATAAAGACTTTGAAGTCATTATAAAACACATCACAAGAACAAAAATTAAAAAATAT